TGTATGATCCATCAACAGGAATTTGGGCAACTACTGGCAGCATGAATGATACACGAAGCTACCATACAGCATCCGTGTTAACAAATGGAAAAGTGTTAGCTAGTGGCGGATTCGGTAATGGTGTTAATCTGAATAGTGCAGAGTTGTATGATTCATCAACAGGAATTTGGACAACTACTGGCAGCATGAATAATTCACGACGCCAGCATACCGCATCCGTATTAACAAGTGGAAAAGTGTTAGTTAGTGGTGGTCAAAGTACTGGTGGTTTTATGATTAGTGCAGAAATATATTAATGATTATATATTGGTAAACTACAAGGTATAAACGATTACTACAGTTTGATACTAATAGCATCGTCTTGAAATAATGTTCCAAGATGCGAATTGTCTTATTCTAAGAACAATGAGTTCTTTCTATTTGAGTGTCTTTTTGATTGTGAGTTTGTCATTTCCTCATTTAAATAACTACTGCGATGCATTTCAATCTTGAGGGTGTGAGGGGTGCGTATAGCTACCACATTACCAGGTAATTCGATGTTTCTGAATAAGTCTTGTCAAGTAGCACAAATATCAGTATAAGAGATTCAATAGACAATAAATCTAAAGAATCAATACATAATACTATATCTACTATTGTATAAGTACATTCACCAAACAAGGGTGAGTATAGCTACCACAATGCCAGGTATTTCGATGTTGCTTGTATCTTATCAACTGCATGCGATGGTAAATTCCGCTTTCCAGAAAATTCGAAAAAATGACTATAGAAGAAATTTCATGGAAATTTAATTGAATGTTTTAAAGATAATCATAGCGAACTCACGTTATAAAAAGGGTGTGGGTGTAGGTGTGGATGTGGGTGTAGGTGTAGGTGTGGGTGTGGGGTGGGTATGGGTGTGGGTGTAGGTGTGGATGTGGGTGTAGGTGTAGGTGTGGGTGTGGGGTGGGTATGGGTGTGGGTGTAGGTGTGGGTGTGGAGGGTGTGAGTGTGGGTGTTAATGAAGAGATTACCCACACACTTACACCCTATTTTCTTTTGAAAATACATGAAAGTATGTATCATGTTCCGTTTTCCCTTGGATTTTTTGTATTAGAATAGAAATTTTTACTACATATGTGAATAAAAAAAATGGTCGTATCATCGAATATATTTTGTCTTGATTCTGTAAAAATCGATATATAAGTATATTTCGACCTTAAGCAGACTATGTCAGTGTTTTTTTTGTACGATAATAAAAGCGTACGAGTCCTTTTTTTTGGTATTAGTAATATTTTTTCTGTTCTCTTATACGAACAGAAAAAAAGCCTATTGAACGAAGAAAGAAAAGCAAAAGACACAAGTTCTTTAGAAAAGGTTTCAAAGATACATCCATTATGAGATCACATTATTTTGGGGTGTGGAGTGTGAGTGCCGGTTTGGATGTAGGGGTGAGAAGTTATTGCTATCTTTTGTTATTAATAATAATAACAATAACGAAAAAAAA